GCATTTTAAGTTTTTTTTTTATGTGTTCATTCTGAGGCGTTATCCTCCTGGTTGTTTTGCTCTCGGTTGCTTTTATGGTTGCTTTTATCCTGCTGCTATCTGATGTTCACTTTTTGTGACACTTTGAGATTCACTGTGAATGTGAAGTGCATTATAAATAAAAGTTATTATTATTATTATTTATTACAAAATCCACTGTATAAACAGTCATATTAATTAACATGAAACACCCAGACACACCAAAAAAATAACAATATAATTTATATTTGATTATATTTTGAATACATTGTATCAAGTGAAGACCTACCACATGGGCTGTCATGCAACTAGGAAGCTGAAATTCACCAAGCAACTTCATCTATAGGAGCTTAAAAGACCTTGTAAATTTCAAGCATTTACCTTATTGTAGCGGGACGTTGTTAGTTTTTTTTTATTTGAAGGTCAATTTTTATTTTTTTAGCTGCCTAAAATGTATTGCATACACACCAAATTGTAATCAAAATTCCAACAAGAAAAAAGGCTGATGATTTCTTGTATGTTTCACAAAGATTTGTTCAGTGGTTCAAGTGATAATTTTTAAAAGGTACAAAGATTTATTTGGCTTAAGCTGAACATTTAGGACTGACGTGCACCAAACTTTTACCTGTTCTAGAAGCAAATGATATGATGATTTCCTGAAACCCATGTTGTTCATTTGAACTGAAACTAATTGAGCCCCATAGGCAGAGTCCCATTCACCAGACACTTGCTGATGACCCCCTCTCCCAGGCCTGGCTCCAGAGTGGGATCCCAGTAATCCACATTCAGCAATCTCCTTGATTTTGTCTGTCCAAACAATTTTTTTTTACCACAGTTGTTGATCATTTGAACAAATAAATTATTTGGATGTTTGCTAAGAAATAAATTAGCATTGGTAGCAATACAATGGCACAACTGGTAAGGCTGCTACCTCTCAGTGAGCAGGTTACCCTAGTTTAAATCCTCATCCAGGGGCCTTTCTGGGTGGAGTTTGCATGTTCACTCCATGCATGTGTGGGTTTTATCTGGGTACTCCGGTTTCTTCCCACAGACTAAAAACACGTATGTTATGCTAATTGGTAACAATTATTATCCCTGTTAGTGAGTGAGTGAATGGTTGTTTGTCTTGTTTGTCTCTATGTGGCCCTATGATGGGCTTGTGACCTGTCCAGGGTGTATCCCGCCTCTTGCACAGAGATTGCTGTTTATAGGCACCAGCAACCCCACGACCCATAATGGAAGACGCGAGTAAAAGATAATGGATGGATAAAATAAATTGTCAGTGGTGTCCTGAAGTAGGTCAGCTATTGTTAGACTGACTGACTGTGGGCTGGAGAGTAAGTCAGAGGCATTGATGCTATGAATATAACAGATGGTCTGTACACAATCAGTGTTGGATTTGGACTTGTGCAATTATTTATAGATTAAAACCCTTGTGAATAAATTTACTAGCTAAATAAAAGAAATAATTAACTTTAAAAATATATACTATGATGAAGTCCAAATGCCAATGGTCAATATATTCATTCAATTGTCTAACTCTGTTCTGCTATTTTTCTCATGAAATAAATTTGACAGCTTAAATTTATCAAAATGTAGTGGGACATAAGTGATAATGTACTGTGCATCACCACTGTCATATTTTTTATTTGTATTTCTTGTTAGTTTCTTTTACTGTGTTGTAGTCCAGGTTCTCAAATGGTAAACCTAATAATGAGGTTACCTTGGTAATTAAGGCACAATTTTGTGAGAAAAGGGACTAGATGAATAAGCAAGATAAGAAACTATCCCATGACATTCCTTTAATTTAGACCATACACAATATTCCACTGGACATATATCTTTTTTGTTTGAATGTAATTTAATTTAATTGGCTTTTTTGTGGTACTATATAAAATTTTATCAAGGTCAAGTTGTCTTTTTTGTCATTTTTTGTCATTCATTTATGGTTTTGTTATTGTTTTAAACATTTTCTTTTAGATATTTAATACATAGACAACAGCTGATTTTTCATTGTACTCATAAAGAATTAAAGCAACTATAAATCACCTGTAAATTTTGTATTTGGAATAAATTAGTAATTGGATATTCTAATGTTAATGACATGCAGCAAATGCATATTGATCAATTCAAGGAGTTCAGTTAATTTACTTTTTGTAGCATAATTACTTAAATGCACATTGCTATACAGACCATGATAGGTGGAGATATGGAAATAGGAATATATTTTAATAAACTGTAAGCAAACAAGTCCAAAAAGTTAATGTAAATCACTAGAGTATTTAGTATACAATGCTTTTGACATGTTAAAATAGTATTTGAAAATATAGTGCTGCTAATTTGCTGACACTAAGATTATAACTTTCAAAAGACAATATTTTTTATCAGTTTTTTAGAACAGTTTTCATTTTTGCTTAATCCATGTGCCCATTCATTTGTTTAAATTTTTTACATCAGGCAAAACATGGGCTACTATGTGGTCCTACTTATAGTTTAAGTTTCTATTTTATGATTCTTTATCATCAGGCATTACATAGGCCACCTATGAAGTTTAATGCAGTTCTACACACTCCCACTAGGGACAACATTGAGGTATACACAGATTTTGTGGGGAGGCGAGGGGCGAAACCATACACATACACAAAAAAACCTATTTTAGTGACTTTTTGGGACGTTTGAGATTTTTGGATTAAAATACATTTTGGAGCGTGCTGAATGCGATTATAAGGTTCTCTAATTGGGGACCGTGGTTTTGGTCCCCACTTGCCAAGGTGTCCCCAAATGACTGGTGTGTAAACGTGTTCACGACCCCAAATATAACATAAGCAAACGCACACACACACACACACACACACACACACACACACACACACACACACACACACACACACACACACACACACACTGCAGCTGTAATGATTCTACAGGCTGCTTTTAAACAGGATTTCTTCCCATTTCATCAGTGTCTGGTGGAACTATCCAGTCAATGGGTTTAATTGTTGTAATAAAACATTTTGCATGCTGACAGATTCCAATAGTCTTTGAGATTTATGAAAATATTTTTAAAGTCTTTGAAAAATCAGCAAAATGCTACGATGTTCAGCTCTAGAAACACTTCATCTTAGTGCTGAAAACAATCTGACGTTTTCAAAAAACGTTCAATACAAAAACTGACGTTTTCAAGATAACCAACATCCAGCAGCCCTTTACTGATTGAACATGTTTTGTAAATTAGCACAAATCGATTCAATCTGCAAAAGAGTGAAAGATGTTTTATTGACTTTGTATGGTTTCTGGAATTGCTCTTAATTAACAAGAGACAACCCATAAAACACACAAAACAAACCTTTTATCAGTTCAGTTTTACAATGTTGTGCAAGTTTTCAGGCTTAATTCTTTTAGAATAAATGCTGCAATAATTTACAGCTGCAGTTGTTGCTTTTGAGTAAAAAGAAGAGCGTGCGTTAACATTTTTCATTAATAATTGCCTTAAGTTTAACTGCAGCTATTCATTCATGAATCATTCCGTGATCTGTTGGTTTATAAATCTTATAAATGAATCTAAAAAAGTTCAATCTGGTCCTCTGGACATTCAAAACACAAAACAAAACAAAACAACAACAACAAAAAAAAGTAGAAACGTTTCGTCTTCCATCCGAATCTTTGTATATAAAACACATTTAGAGCATCGTGGTGGCATTGTATTCTTTTATTTTAGTTATTTCTTCCGTGTGAGTTCAGATTCTGACTCTAAAGTTGTTGATCCTTGGGCAAAGTGTGAGCTAAGAGAATATAGACCAGTTCTCCCAGTTTTGCTGATTGTAGTTTGTTGCATGTGTATGATGTGAAGTAGATGTGGCAGATTGTTTCAGTAGCTAAAGGTCAGTTTTCAGTCTACTCGGACTCTCAGCATTTACGTTTGGACTAAATCTGGACCCAATAAGATGTGCAGACCTTTCTTGACAGTTGTTCAGAGAAACATGTTTTGATAAGTGTTGTACATAGATTTTCTCAAGTGTTCTTCTTTTGGTGCTATTTAGAAATTCCTTATTTTAATTGTGAATGTTTTCTACAGTATTTATTTTTTGTATTTGTATTGCATACTTTTAAATTCATGGTATACAGGATTTACGTGTCTTACTCTTTGTGTTTATAGTATTCAAATTTCAAGTTTATGAATAAAATATTCAAATAAACTTTGTGTGTTTGTGATGGAACGTGGTAATCTAAATGACATGGCACGGCAGGGCGTGTCTGTGCACCCGGGGGGAGTTGGGTGATGTGGGTTTGGAGGGACGTCCAGGACACCAAACAGGACCGCCCCGTCTACACAATACAATACAACAACGAAGAAGCTTTCCTTAAATATGTCAGCTTCGAGTGTTTTCTGATCTGATTTGTCACTTACTGTGTGCACATTTCAGTGCTTATTAAAAATGTATGAAAAAATCTGTTCAGCATACAACACTGCAGATGAACTCCTTCAGTGTTCTTATTGCAAATGTCACTCAGGGCAAAAGGGAAAAAGACTTTCAGCTAAACAAAGTGAAATTATGACCTAATTTTTACTGAGTGAACTATTGTAGAGGAAAACAAGACATTGAAATTTAAACTTTATGGTATTTATACATAACATAGCCAGGTAGAGTTATATTGTACATATAACTGGTGCTTACGTACATATGAGCTGTGTACAGGTACTTATCGGGTACTTCAAATTAAGTACATCATAGTGAGTAATATTATGTATTGCTAACAACATATTTTACTCAATTGGATTGTTTTGATTGCTGTTTTGTTGCTGGAACAATTGAAGCCTACCAGGTATGTAGATACACATTCTATGTTTTAGACAAACATTTTGTAAGTATAGACACACGTTTTACATTCAGAACTGAACATTTCAGCCTTTTTTTAAAATACATTTCCTAGACATTTTATCACTAAACCAGTCTGTTTAAAGACTTCTTTCAGTTACTCACCAACATTGGACATCTCGGGCACCCTGGCATGGTATGGACTTTGCAGAAACTCTGGTGGATTATCATTGATGTCTTGAACTTTCACTATAAACTCTGATGGAGGTTCCAGAGGTTCATGTGTGTCTCTTGACACAGCCTGGGCTGTTAAGGTGTACTGGGCCTGCTCCTCGCGGTCCAGGGTTTTTGTGGCGTGGATGTTCCCTGTTTTGTCATCAATAACAAATATGGTGCCTGCACCTTCACCGGACAGGATATACTTGATGTTACCATCCCCTTTGTCTACATCCGAGTGGAGCTGGAAAGACAAGACAAAAAATGAACCAAAACAGCTGAGTTTAGGATTGAATGAACCAGCAGAACCAGGATAAAAGCTTCAGATATGCAGACTGGTAGTCTGGGGATGAGGTCAAGCAGTAGTCATGCATGTAGGTGTTAACAAAGGGATTCATTTTCACGTCTACAAATTATAACATATAAAGACTGAAACAGAAAAGTGAGGCTAGTCAGGAAGCTGTCAATAACCAGACCTTTAAAATATCTGTGAAAAATGAGGATTGTTCAACATTCAATTAGGCCCTTGCTCCTGCTTTACAAGCTTTGGCCAGTGGAATAAAAGGCATTGTGGACATTATTTATTCTTTGCTATGAAAACTGCTCAGTTTGAGTGATGGTGTTGTTGTGCAGGAAAACCACTAATCATCCTCGTGAATGTCAGCATGACCCCTGTCTTTTTTCATCTTACTCTCACTCCTTGATAAATGGGGAAAGCTCATTTAAATGTTGTTCTGCGTTAGCTGCCACGCAGCACACTGGCTGTCACTGGAGGGCACTGTGACCACTCACTGATTACTCAGGTTCTAATTTGTTTAGAAAAGAAGTGAACGATAAAGGCTTCACAGAAAAACTCTCTAAACTCACCCTGCCCACCAGAACTGGGTCCGGTCCGGTGTATTCCTCAATAACAAAGAACTGATTCCACACCCATCCTCGTTTGGACCGGTGTAGTACCTGCCCTTCCTTCCCTGCCCTCTGTCTGTGTCTGTGCAGCGACAAATGATCTGCAAGAAACAAGAAAACAAACAGTTCATTCAGATTTACTGCTGTTAACAACAAGAAACAACATCAACTATTATTATTATTATTATTATTATTATTATTATTGTTATTATTATCACAGTCATCATCATTATTCCTATTATTAATATTATGATGATAATGATGATGATGATGATTATCATCATCATTATTATTATTATTTTTATTATTATTACTATTATTATTCACATAATAATTGTAAATCCTTATTGAGTGAAACCTGAGCCTGACGCTCCCATGGCCTCTGGAATAATTCTTGTCCAGAAAAAAACAATTATTCTCAGTGGCTTGTGTTTAGAGTTTTACTTAAAAATGAAACATGTACAGCAAAAAAGTCAGCAAAAACAACTTATCCACGAGTTGGTAATTAAACAGAAAAAGAGCTAGGGAGGTCAAAGGAACTGTTTGGCTTCACTCCCCAACTAGTCTGTCTGGACTTTCTCTTTTGCCATGCCCCACCCACATCACATGACTTAAATAAACATGTTACCAACCTCAAACTAACAAAGATCTACACACAAAACAAATAGCTTCAGTTATACATATAATCTTTACAAAATTTAGTTTAGGCTCCTACAGTAATATTAATTATTATCATCATTATTCATATTAATATTCATATTATTATTGTTGTTATTATTATCATATTATCAGTATCATATTACTATTCATATATCATAATCATTATAAGCATAATCATTATTCATATATTATTATTATTGTTGTTGTTGTTGTTATACTATTATCATATTATCATTATCATATTATTATTATTCATATTATCATATTACTGGCAGCACGACAGCTCAGTGTTTCGCACTGTTGCCTCACAGCAAGAAGGTCCTGAGTTCAATCCCCGGTGGGACCTGGGCTCTTTCTGTGTGGAGTTTGCATGTTCTTCTCGTGCATGCGTGGGTTTCCTCTGGGTACTCCAGTTTCCTCCCACAGATCAAAAACATGCATGTTAGTCTGCCTTCAGGACCAAGCCTGCCTTGCAAAAGAAATCTGTAATCTCAATGGGATTTGCCTGGTTAAATAAAGGTTAATGAATAATAAATAAATAAATATCATCATTATTCCTATATTATTATTATTACCATTGTTGTTTTTGATGTTTTTGTTGTTGTTATTGTTATTATTATAGTTATTATTATTATTATTCAGGCTTTCACTGATAAATTATTTTTTATTATTATCATCATTATTCCTATTATTATTATTATTTATCAACCTTTATTTAACCAGTTGAATCCCCTTGAGATTACAAATCTCTTTGGAAAGGGAGACCTTAATAATAATAATTTTACTAGTACTACTACTACTACTACTACTAATAATAATAATAATAATAATATAAAATAATACTAATACTAGTAGTAATAAAATAATAACAAATAATGATAATAATAATAATAATAGCTAATAATAATACTAGTAGTAGTAATAAAATAATAATAATTAATGATAATAATAATAGCTAATAATAATAATAATAATAATATTACAAATAAATGATGATGATAATAATACATTCAAACCAGTCAAAGGGCATTTAAACACTGGTTGAGTTCACTGTGAATTGACTGAATTACTTCATCATTTTTTTTTCTTCAGTAGATAACAGTTAAAGTGAGCAGAAACCTCCTGAACACAAGTCTGTTTTTGAATTCTGGGTCATGTTAGAAACTCCCAGCTGAGACAAAGTGGGTGGATTCACACATGTGAACAATTCACACTTCAGCACATTTCTCCATAGAAGCTCTCAGAGAGACATTTAACCCGTTTGTTGCAGTGTGTCTGGTTTACAGCCAACAGGTGGAACTAAAGCCTCGACTGAACAGAAGAGCAGACAGCAAAAAAAAAAAAAAAAAAAAAAAAAAATGGACAAACTACAACCTATTTAAATTAAAAAAAAGAAAATTACAAGTACTTCAGAAAACGTTTGGCGGGAAAGGACCAATTGAACATGAACAGTCCTAGTATTCTTTAAAGGAATGCATATCACCCGCCATCTTTCATGACAAGAGTTTGAACTAAGATCATGTTTAAAATCACACAATTACAGCTATTTTAGTCTAACCAAGAAAAACAAATACTAGACATTGCAGTATTCATGTGCTTTTGCATCTCTTTTAGCTTTTGGAGTATGTGTTGTGATTGACCCTCAGATAACACCTCACCAAATATTAGCTCATAATACTGAAGGATAACTA